GTATAGTGGAAAGGCACTTTTGATAACAAAATAAGTGCGGCGGGGACCAATCTATACAATAACAACATAAACAATTCATCAGTTTCAACACACAAATTATGAAAAAAAATTGCCCACTTTGCCTTTCATAGAGAGATATCAGACTAAGTGCTACAGTGGCCAATTTATCCAATTGGCAATCCCCGGAATGGAATTTATTGACAGCAGCTCCCAAGTAGGATATGACAAAGCTGCGTTAGGAATTACAGAAATTGCCACTGAAAGAGCAAAGCATGAAGATTGATTGGAATTTGAGGTATTTTTTAACCCTAATTAAGTGTCTGTTTGGAAGGGATCCGCAACCTATTGATGGACTGAGATAAGGATAAATGGACTATTTGAAGAAAGTATATTTGCTATTTGTGTGCCTAAATGTTGCCGGGGCTGAAGCTGGGCAGTCTGTGGGCATTGTTATATACCAATAAATGCACGTTTTAAACAGTAACGTTGGCTCCGAAATATGGCTTTAGCAATATCAGAAAATAAAGGCATGCAATGAAGTAAGATGCTGTTTTTACTGACGTATTAAATAGGTGTGGTGGAGGGAGAGGTCACCTTATCACAAATCCGAACCCGTTTCTGGAATTAAAGACTCCATTTGGAATTGGACAATTAGTATAGCTTCAAGTTCAGACGACACTTGCGTTCTTAACATAATTGTTCAATATGTTCGTGGTTTGTTATGTAATTGTATCACACACACACTTAATTCGAATTTCTTCTGCGAAACTTACAAAAATGTGGCATCTTGAAAATGTGTTTTAAAATCTTAAATTTGGTGAAAAAGTTAATATCTAAGTTTTAGCAATTACATGAGATGAAAATAATCTTACGTTCTGTAATAACTTCGGATATGAAGAAGGAAGCAGTTCGAGAATTAGAGACTTCTATTTTAAGAACGTTTTGATGAAAACGTGACCAAACATCGTGGCACTTAATTCATTTGCCAAAACTAATTAATTCATTCCCTTGCATACATCTCATCTGGTTCTGCTGTGATTCACCAATTCTCTGTTCAAAGATCAAAAGAACGACGGTAAAACCGTTATTTTTAAACTTTAATGGTACCGCAGTAATTCCATAATGGAAAAGTGTATACAGGTATTTCGGAGCTCATGGTAATGGAATTTGTCTGTTGATATGGTTGTTGTTATGTGGCTTAAAAGGGGATTTTAATAGCTCAAACTGGGTGACCCCCGTGAAAATATTTAACCATTGTCAAAAAACCCCAATGATACAACGAACGGCTACTGCTCATCTTTCTTGTCTTTTAATTGATGCACCTGCGTGCGAAAACTCGTTAAATAAAACGTTCCCGAGCTGTGTTGGCTTAAATAACCCTATTTTCCTGTCGAATAGCCCTTTATCACGTCTGAATGGCATTTTACTCCCTTTTTTATTTTATGGAATCACTTCCGTACGCCAAACATTGAACTATCTCTGGAGATAAAAAATAAATGTTAAAGTGGGTTTTAACGAAATATGCAAAAATGAAAGGTATCAAAAAACGTGTTTTATGTATAGTGGACATGATATAGAGCAACACAGGCCTCGAGGGCCTTAAAAAATACACAAACGCGTCCTCGTTACGAAACTCTCCTACCCAAAATAAACAAGACGTCGCGTGCACTCCTCTGGACGCTTCTAGCCAAGAGTTCACGGGATGGATACCACTTGTACCACAGAAATGGCGAGAAGTCAAGACAAAAATAAGAATCTGCGCTTTTTATTTACAAAAACCTTTATTTGATCTCTATTTTCTCAACTGATTAATGTTAGGTCTGCCTTGGTATCCATGTGAAAAATAGACAAACTTGAAGGGAATATTCATATTTTTATAAGTGTCTAAATCGGTAAGACCCGCTTCAACGTTAAATTGACATAAACCTAGTTACATTATACGTATTTTCATTAAGCTTAAGTTCCAGCTACATTATTTTAAAGTGGTTTTTAACGCATTACATCGATTTATTGGTATGTTATGAAGGCTACTTGTTATTATATTATATAATTGGGAACCTGTATGTACTGAATGGGACAATTCAAGATGACGGTTTTCCGTTCTGCTGTGTTCTTGGCATTTCTGTCTATAACTGACATCCCTTATGAGATTACTTATCTAAAACAGACTGGAATATATTATTGTCCCTTATGATTTCGTGATACTGGAATTACACTGTGTATACTAAGAATTTCAAATATCATATATTGACGTAAATGCTATTATTGTTTACCAGGGAGCTTCGTGTTTTTCTTGACGCAAATCACCAACATAAGATGGCACCTGGGGTGTGAAGAATTGGAAAGAATAATTGCCTCTGTGAATAAAACTTGTATTAATTGTATCGAATTTATCAGGCGAGTTCGGTTGGGCGGGGTTTGCACCAGGCACAAGATCTTTTGATTTATCATTTGAGCACAGTGCAGAAAAATTGGTAAGCCAAGGAGATGATATCCCTTTCCACCGTCCCCTTATATGATTCTCTCTTTTATCAACAATAACCGCCAGTGGTTCACCTGTTCATCAATGTTCGTCTTTTTCAAAATGTTATCACCTAACAGACCATCACAAATACACTTTGAGTTAAAACAAAAACGAAATTCACACACTACTTTCGGCAACGTTAAATCTTTTTTATTGCGTTAACCCGCTAGCTGAGCGCGTAACTGATGAGTGCACCGGTCCCAGTCCCGAAAGCATGCGTTTGTTCTTAGCTAGGTGGCTTGACTTGTCGTTTGTGCCAATTTCACCAAAAGCATGTTTTTGTCGTGTAACACGCTTTTAGCCTACAGTGATAAAACGTTAACGCACGCATGTCATTGAACATTCATTTATGCATTAATTCTGACAAACGCTTTATTTCTGTCCGCGGGTGGCGCAAGAGAAAGCAACACGGTGAAATATCGCAAAATAATATGGTTACGAGACCCCAGAAAGCATTCCTCACGGAAGCTTTTGTACTTCATACCCACAACTAATTAAAATCTAACCATTATGTGAGACAAACACTAGATGAAAGTGCAATTATAACTGCTCGCTGGCCTCCCGGAAGACGCGTCATTGCAATCACAGCGGATTATTTGACGTAAAACTAATGCCTTCCCACCGGATGTCGGCAAGAGACCGAAGCGTATTAACGACAAATTGAAGTCCTCCGTCCTTTGAGTGCCGTTAATTACAAATCGGAACGCGTGAAGAGGAACAAATTGCAATTTATTTTTTGTCTCTCTCGAATTCTCATTACATTTAGAAAACACTACGCTGATGATTCAAAGAGAGATTTCAACTAGAACCGATTGCATTTCGCTGTAGTCACCAGAGACGAAGGCACACTTCCGCTGACTTAAAGGCTAACAACGTCTTTGTCCTGTTTGTCAATAATTGTCCACGGCAACGCAGTTCTAAAAGGCAATTTCATTAACCTAAATGCCAAACAACTTAAAGACCTTTTCAAAATTCAATTTTTCTCCAAAAATTGGCAATTGGGTTGTTTGAAATGGATATTTGAGAACGCGTCCGCATGCGTCTAATAAGTGTGCAGCAAGACCAATGTGACCTTTAAGTGGTGATTAAGTGCACTTAATGTTTTTGTATAACCTAAAGGAATTCGCAAACGCAAAACTGTAAAAAAAAAAAATTACAGCCCATATCACTTCCATGCCAACATTTACGCAATTCAATAATATTAACAAATGAAAGTTTAATAATAAGACTAATCAACGCCTGATCGTATTCCTGCTCGGTCCAAATGTTTTAGATAATTAAAGAAAAGTAGACTGCACTGCCCCTTGCAGAGACTGCCGTAGAATTTTGACCAACAGACAAATGCAGCCTCTGCCTTCTGTTGTGTATTGTATACCTAACGCCAGGAAAGAACCTAATCTGAAAGTTGGTTTTAACCCTAATGGCCAAAAACCTTAATCTGTTGCATCTGCCAGCGAGGATTTATCAGTGCACAACCACAAAATGATGCTGGTTCCATAGAAAAAATGGCTCATTTCTTAGATTGGCATTGGCTATGTTTTAAAGGATAACTGCAGATTTATCTAGGCTGAATGTAAACCACAAATGTCGATATTAAGCTAAACCGACTCTGGTCTTCCATTTGTGAACACAGGTCCCGGTTTCACACACACACACACACACACACACGCACACGTACACACGCACACACGCACACACACACAAAATAAATAAATAAAAAAAGTAGGTTCCCTTACTTAAGTCTGTTACCAACGATACATGGACACATCTTACCCTATCAGGAACAGTATTAGAGCACTCTCATGAAAATCCTAGTCATCTAAACCATAGTACTGACTTAATTTTTTCGTGAAACTGGGACCAGGGATTTTTTCAGGTATGCGCGTGGTCTGTATCTTCGGCTACTACAGGTAGATCTTCCTTAATCCGGGTCATGGGAAGCCAGTAAAATTCGAATATGATCAAGTCCAACAACAAGGAAGTCATTTAAGAATTCATTTAGCTCGAGACAAATTTGCCCAAACTTTGTGTTCGGCTCAACTGGAGGTCATCAAGATTAATGGTAGCTTACAGATTATAAAAGCAAGCTTTCTGTAAATATTTTTGATTTAAAATCTTATGAAGGCTCGGCCAACTGACAGCTACCGAGTCGTCGACATTTCAATCCCTTGTTTGTTCATTTTTTTAATGAAAATCAAATTGCACTTTTAATGAAAATCAAATTGCACTCACCTCCACCAAGACGTCACGCTTTTAATTTTTTTAGCAACCTTATTCAAAAGGTTACGGGCGGATGGGTTAACATGGGACCGATCTGATATTGATAATTATCCATGATTCATTAAAAATTATAATTCAGACAACTGAGCTGCCACGGCGGAGGTTCACTCTCTTTGGGTGCTTTTCTGCTCTCTTATATCTTCCCGGATTTTCATTGCATTCGAACTACCTAAAAATTCACACAAAACTAACTTACCCTTCAACGTTAGGTCAACTAAAAAGGTGGTGTAACGGAAGATCCTAAAAAAAATGTGTACTCCTCAGTCTTCTTGTCAAAATCTTAAGTTCATCATCTACAACGAACACGGAGACAGCGCTTCCAATCTCAGCGGACACCGAGGAAAACTAATCCATTCAAAGCACTGGTAGTTCTCTCGATCCGCAGAACAAATCTAATTGCAAATCAGTGTTCGAATTAAAGGCCCAATCCGACTGCTACATGCACGATGCGGAAGTGCCTACTGGGCAATTAAGCGATTGGGCATCTATAGATGCACACGTGGTCATCACAACCAGTCTCTCTCTCTCTCTCTCGCTTTCCTCTCCCACTGAAATACGTGTGGCCCTCGCAAAGCATTCTCTATCCGTGCACCAAATCAAATTGAAAATCCGTGTAAATAAAAAGACCCGAACCGACAGAAAAATTACTTGTTCAAGCTGCGCCGAGATAAGTTTCCCTTTCCATTACGAATTAACTGCACGCTCCGCGATAGAACAAAAGCACAATCTATCAGCGTCAAAGGGAAGCTATTGTGTCACTTGAAAAACACACGGGTGATGTATGAGCCAGGAAGATATGGAGGGAAAAACAACTGCGGCGGATTTCAAAGAGAAGGTCACCGTTCAGGCGCGTCCCCACGCGCTGCATGGGTATTATGTTCCTGTCGTTCTTCATTTTGCTGCCGACTCCTGTTCACCTTTTCTGAAAATATTTGCCTATGAAATATGTATTCGGATTTCTTGAAATTGGTCGAAGGATGCGTTTCGTCTGTCTGCCTATAATCCCACTGTTATGCTTTCAATAAGAGACGCAATCCCATGATCGTTCAATTTTTGTAAGGGTATACATATAAGCGCGCTTGTTTTGAATTCATATTTGTATTTCATCAAAATCTAAAGGCGTTTTTTAGTCTTTTAATTACATCAGAAAGTACCTTTGTCTAAGCATCTTATAGGCCTTTCTTTGTCGCCCCCTAGCGTCAGCACAATGAACACGTGGGCAAGTTAACTGAGGGATACTACAGTCTCCCTAGCGTCAGCACAATGAACACGTGGGCGAGTTAACTGAGGGATACTATAGTCTCTTTAGCGTCAGCACAATGAACACGTGGGCGAGTTAACTGAGGGATACTAGTTTCCCCAGCGTCAGCACAATGAACACGTGGGCGAGTTAACTGAGGGATACTACAGTTTCCCCAGCGTCAGCACAATGAACACGTGATCGCGAGTTAACTGAGGGAATCTATAGTCTCCCCAGCGTCGGCACAATGAACACGTGGGCGAGTTAACTGATAGGATACTACAGTCTCACTAGCGTCAGCACAATGAACACGTGGGCGAGTTAATCGAGAAATTGTCCCTGCTCCCACCTAGTATGCTTAAAACTACATATGTCCTTGAATGCTTCTTAAAACTGTCAGCCTTAAACGGACCAGAAATTTTAACTATTTTAAAGACATCTGTTTATTATTTAAAATTGAAGACTACTTTTCGCTCAATTAAGCTCAAATCCCGACACTGAATACTAAAGTTTGGTCAATTTAAATTTCATACTGTCGGGCTGTCAAAGTTCCATTGCTGAAATTGCCATGCTCTGTTCCTGTAAACAGAATTGACATTGACATACCCCGTACAAAAGCTCTTTAGCCTTGGGAGCGAAAACTACATCGAACCTATTTCAGTTAGAGTCCAATATTAAGAGCAAATCAAGAGAATTGTCGCGTAAGTTCCTGTAAACAGTCGGTAAACTCGACACCCTTAATATTATAACTGAAAGGACATTTCATCCCTCCTCTTATGTCCTGAAAACCAACAGCAACATTCAATATATCATTTCCTCCAGGACAAGTCATCCTAATGCAGTTATATCAATTGACAAGGATGTAGCAATCACAGTGCTTGAAGTTTGACATTTCATTCAAAGTTTTAAAAAATATGTATAATAGGCACAAAAAACTAGAAACGACGGCAGTGTATCAGAAAGCTGTGAGCAGTAGAGAATTGCTCCCCCCTTTTTTATGGGAGGGGTGGTGGTATTTACCCTAATATTTAGCTGTAAATAGGCCGTTGAATCGGCTACCGCGTTTTGACTGATTAGGTCTACAAATCTCCGCGCCTATTACGAAGCAATACAGAGGTACTCTAAGCACATTTGGGAAATTAAGGTTAAATCAAGTGATGTATGATACCCGCCCTGAGCGCGAAAGAGCTTTACGTGGCATCACCACTATGTGCAGTATTTGACGTCAGCCTTTGATCACGTGGACGGCGATTTCGTCACACCAGGTTTAGCAGAGAGATGAAAGAAATAACGTGTGGTAAAAATTCGTAAATAATTCACAATACGTTGACTAACGAGACCTTTGAAACTGCTCGAGAATAAACTGAACATGGATTCATTTATGGCTAACTTGATGAGAAAACTAAGACAAAAATTAATTTATATTCTATGAATAATCAAGTAGGAGGCATTTGGTCTCAAATTGTTATTCATTGTTCTCCGTGGAGAAATCATGACAGAACAAAGGGCAGTTGCAAAAACAGCAGAGAGTGAATTACCGATACTGTTTTTCCTTTGGTGCCGTTGTTACAGGAATGGTAGTCCGCCAGGAATCGCAGTCCGTTCCCCCATTACTTTGTACAGGTGACATTCGTCCCATATACTAACCCCAATACTTCAACTAATCCAATCTTCTATGAGACCATTCCCACATATATTTAGATCGATCTATCCCCCTGACGAGACTCACTAGATTGCTGTCAGCTTAACCGGCTTAAATGTCTGTCCCGTTTACTAAAAGCTGTAACAGGGTAATTAACTTTTGTGCGCGCTCGGCTCCCCGAAGCTGACAGCAGGAAGCTGAACCCCAAGGAGTTAGGTCGATCCAGATGGATCGATCTAAATCTGTGGGAACCCAGTCTATTAATCATATGGGCGCTCGGACTCCTATTCCTAAGACTTGCATTCCTGTCACACCGGTAAGTGAGACGCAGGGTGTAATGACATCGCTGCTGGAGCGTGACAGTTGCTCTTGGATGTGGGCAAAGTGATTGATGACTTGGAGAATGGTTCGCGTAGAGGGAATTAAACGACGGTGTCGTTAAATTAGTTAATCTACGCTACGGTGTCAACACAGCGTGGGATTGTGCATTAAAAGGAAGCACACAAAGTTGCCGCCATGGGGAGGGTTGAGCGTGTGGAAAATTCAAATATGTGATAAGTTGTCGTCCTTTAGCTGTTGATGTCTGTTTGTGAATTCCTAACAGTACGTCGTATAAACAACCTAGACGTATACCCCAAATGTATGAAAAGGGGGGGGGGGCGCTCTTTTTGGTCGCACAATATTTCCTCTAAATGTAAATTTTACTATCCGTGTTTGTAAATGTCCCAAAGTCATATTTCCTTCATATATTTATGTCTTAATATCTGTTTGACAAAGGTAATAATCGTTCCCAATTCAGACATTTAAAATCATGCCCCCCTCCCCCAATTAAAGCACCTGATGTCGTTATTTTCTTCTGAAATGTACAGGAAAACAGGGCATCTGAATTCCTGGGCAGTCATTTAGAAATGAATCATTTAATTAATTATCTATATATTCAAATAATCGTATAAATCTTCGAATTCAAGTGTAGGATCAAAGATTCGTGTGAAGGGAAAAAATTTTTGAGGATTTTCGATGTAGGGGGAAATGCCGTATAGGTTGCCTTAAATAATTGTGACATTTCCGAAGAGTATATCTCTGCGTCGTCAGACCCCCTTAAACATCTAAAAATAGCAGACAAATACAGTTAAAAAATATTACTTGAAAACTGGCATACAACACAGGCCACTCAGTTGAACACTAACATAGTAAAAAACAGCTGTGTCTCCTACAGTATTTTATTCCGGAATTGAACAGATAGAAATATTAAGTTGATACCGCCCTTTTATACAATGGAAAAGAATCCAAAAAATGTTTTAATACTGTATTATTCGTCTACGTTTTGACCAATTTTAAAACGGGCTACATGTAGTACTGGCACTAGAAGGCTTTCGCACAACACCAAAGACAAACATTTCTGCATAAGGTATTTTTTCATCACCACTCAAATAAGCATTTGATAATTTAGAGGGTAAATAAGTCCATTACGAAAAGAGTATCATTTGGTTGATATTATCAGGGAACCTTGAATGGTTTTTACATTACTCTAATTGATGAAGGTAGGCACATAGAGTACACTGATGTTCTCTGTAGTCAGGTGTCTGTTCTTCTCATTTATCTTCCTCTAATCTGGCGGATATAAGAGGGCATAAGGGACATGAACTTCCCGCTTAGGCTAACTAAAGATGTTATTTAAAAAACGAACATGCTGATCGGAGCTAGGTTTAAAAAAATCTCCCTACTGTTTGGAAAATTAAAACAGCCAGTTACTTATGTCAAGTACGGTTTTAGTTTAAATCATCCTGGACTAAGTCTGCTTTGCTTAAATCATCATGGCACTTTAATTTTCTCCGCGCCTTTTCTGTACTTACCCGGTAGACCTACCCTCTACCAGGGCGACAGATTGATTTTCACAAGATATTCACAGATATTTCTTTAGATAAATAGACAGTCATTTCATTCTCTGGCTTTTTAAAAATTTCCCTTTAATATATGCCCCCCACTCCCCCCCCCACCCCCCACCAGAGGGCAGGGTAAACCTACCGGTATATCTGATGAATTCGTGCCCTCTGATATCAGGGCTTCTAAAATAGTAAACCAAATAAATGTATAAGGGCGCATTCCCATAGATTTTAGATCGATCTATCCCCGTGGGGAGTCTCACTAGATAACTGTCAGATAATCCGGCTTAAATGTCCGTCCCGCCTACTACAAGCTGTAAGGGGGGTAATTAACTTTTGTGCCCGCTCGGCTGACAGCTATTTAGCGTGAACCCCCAGGGGAGTTAGGTCGATCTCGTTTGGATCGATCTAATCTCTGGGAATGGGGTCTAAGGCCCCCGCCCTGTCCTCCGTTACGCACACTTACAACTACCCCGCCCCTATCCGCCCCTCAAACGTTGGCTCAGCATCAGAAGATTTTGCGTTGTTGGGCGCAAAAGAGCAATCAATCCCCACAAATCCCCACAATGTATCTACTTGGACAAGACCCTCACTGTTTGCTCACTACTTCTACAACAAGGTACATTAATGGATGGTCCCAATATGTTATTTTTCTAACTTTTTTTTAATTGTCATAAAACTGTGATTGGTCTAAGCGAACTGGTTCAGAAACTGGACCATTTGGCAATTTCGGTGGATTAATATATATCACTATTTCAGAGTTTGCGTTTAAGAATGAGCAGTTCAACTTTTTCTTTTGCAGAATTTGGTGATTACCACATGAAAATAAAGTGATGAATAATAGGACTCGTCAAAAGCGGGAGAAGTATATCGGTTTGCAAAGCATATTTCATTAAAGTGCACACCT